AAAAAAAAAAAGGATGTTATTTGAGAACCTGCTGTATTTGCAATGTAAGAATCACAGCAAGAGGGACGTAGAAAAATACAGTATATTGCTTCATAGATTTTGTCCCTGCACCAGGGACAAAAGTGATATCCCTGATCTGATTTATACTGAAATGAATGTGAGCTATACATACATTTAAGAAAGATTAATAAAAACAAGTAAAATTGGTCCGGGTGAGGTGAGGGTGAGCTCACCTATACATCAGTCCTGACTGGGTGGGGCCACTTGTGTGGAGAGTTACTGAATTAGGAATTTAATCATTTTGATTGTTTTTGTGAGTAGCAGTCCATTATCATAATCTAATCAATTCAAAAGAGACATGATTATCTTATTTTTTGAAACCCCATTCATAATTTTAGAATCTCTTTTATTTTCTTAATAAATTATACAACTACTAAAAAAATTCTAAACATTGCATTTAAGTGTAGAAAAGCTCAAACACAGCTGTACTTGGAGGCAGAGGATTGCATCAATTCCTGCATTCCCTAAAGAATCATTATGAGTTCAATAATATCAAATGCAGAAAAATCTGGTATTCAATAACTCTTAAAATAGCATAAGCAGATGTGTTGTTCAGAATGGGATTCTTTTTGTATTGGTGAAAAAAATTTGTGAGTTTCTGGACAAGGCTATATACAGTGGTCCTATGATTTATGCAACTGCGCTTCTTGAACATTATGAAAATTAAAACAAGTGACAATACTTGTAATTTAGCATTAAATAGGGTGAGGCCTTGGAAATTGTCAGCATTTTTATCATCCAATTTCATGTCTGAAGGTCCCTGGAGAGTCCTATGACATGCTTGCAGGAAGCTTAACTGTCTTGACCATTGTCAATAGCAGCCCCCATTCACTAGGAGAACCAACAGAGCAAACTCCAGATTTTAAATGAATCCAGACTGGGTGGTGCCACCTTTGTTGAGAGTTACTGCTTGAGGTAATTTAATCATCTTGATGGTTCTTGTGATGAGTTAGGAGTCCATTATCACAACCTAATCAATCCAGAAGTCATGAAGTCTCCACCCACTAATTAAGGTGACTCAATATAAACCTGCCTCCTGTGCCTCCACATTAGCTCATTTGGAAGACCTGGCTACAGGTGGTCGTCTCCTTGGCTCAGAGTCCGTGCTGCAGCTGAGGCGTCTGTGTCTCTCTGGTTCCGAGTGGCCGCCATCATGTTCTCCTCCTCACTCAGGGTGGCTGTGGTGTGTGTGAGCAACATCAACAGGAGCATGGAGGCCCACAGCATCCTCAGGAGAAAAGGGCTGAGTGTCCGGTCTTTCGGAACGGAATCTAATGTGAGGCTACCAGGACCAAGACCCGGTCGTCCTGTAGTTTATGATTTTGCAGCAACATATAAGGAGATGTACAATGACCTCGTCAGGAAAGACAGAGAATGTTACACCCATAATGGGATCTTACACATCTTGGGAAGAAATGAGAGAATCAAGCCCGGTCCAGAAAGATTTCAGGAGTGCACTGATTTCTTTGATGTCATCTTCACCTGTGAGGAGAGTGTCTATGACACAGTGGTGGAAGATCTGTGTTCCAGAGAACAGCAGACCTTGCAGCCTGTGCACGTGATCAACATGGACATCAAAGATACCCTGGAAGATGCCACCCTGGGAGCTTTCCTCATCTGTGAGCTTTGCCAGTGCCTGCAGCAGTCAGACGACATGGAAGACAGTCTGGAGGAGCTGCTGTTGCAAATGGAGGAGAAGTCAGGAAGAAGCTTTCTTCACACCGTCTGCTTCTACTGAAGATCTGGGCTGGCTTTGTCCCCTTCCTCAGTAAGAACTTAGGCATGGGACTTTAGTCCAGATTTATTGTGAGAAGCATCTGCAAAGACCTTTCACTGAGTGCTGTTTGTATTACTTTTGTACATATCACTTGGAAAGGGACGATTACCAAGGAAATATTTTATGGGAAATGAGAAGGACTAACAGTTTTAAAAGCACTGAAACATGCTTGGCATTGTTCTAGGTGCATTACATAGAATAATGAATTTAGTGCTTATATAATTCTACAAGGACGCTATCCCACCATGACTGCATTTTCCAGATGAGCAAGCAGAGTTGATAATGGACTGCTGGAAAAATGATTTGTTTAAGGGTACTCAGCAGATAAATAACATTGTATAGATAAGCACCTTTTAAATGAACTTTCTTTTCACAATTTGAGGGCTATTTTTTTAATTTTTAAATTTTTTAAGTTAGTTGAGACCAATGGAGTGTGGTATATTAACTTAAATGTTGTTCTTCTTTAATAAGAGTATAATATTACATGTTTAAAGAGATAAATGTTTTTACCTATAGATCATATCTTTTTTACTAGTGCTCACTTTAATAGATAAAATCCAAGCTGGATAATGAACTACATATTATTGTAAAATTTGGGGTTATCTACTCAAATAATAGTTCATCAAATTAAATGAAATAAAAATTTTTTTTAAAAGTATATTCTTATTTCTGTTTGGGGGATGGATTTCAAACTACTAAGTGACATGCTTTTGTTTAAACCTTATGAATTACACTGAAAAAAAAAAGGGATCTTTCAGAGTGAAAATTTTATTAAGTTTAAAATGTTCATTGCTTTGAGCATTGAGAACATCAGGTGATAAACCTAATGATGTTTTCAAGGAGAAACAAGTGAAACACTTCATAATCCTTGGTAGTGGCACTAAACCATGTTTACCCATAGAGGAAAAATAGTTCCGAAGTAGTTGTTCATAGTTGAATTAATTTACATGTTATCTATTGAACTAGACTGATTATGGCAACCTAAAATAACAGCAGAGATTAGCTCTCAAAAGACAATGAGTTTATTTGAATGAAGGATTGGAATCAGGAATGCACTGGGTATAACAAGTCACAGGTGTATCCTGAGAGGTTTGGGTAAGGGGAAACTTTTAAAGGGAAAAAGAAGTCCACAGAAGCTGCTTGGAAATAAATGTATTGGTCACAGCAGCTGATTGCAGGAGTTGGCATTAGCTTATTGGTGCAGACAGTCATTGCTAGGCATGTGTTCTTGAGAGAACATTTTATCTGGAATGCTGCAGTCTTGAAGAAAATGCAGTTATAGAAATACGTGTGGACATGCAGAATGAGCAAAGTGTGTAAGACCTGCTGATGGTGTAAAGCATGTAGGATGTGCCATAATCTCTTGTGGGTTTTAGGGAGTCCTTGTGATAGTTCTTATCTAAAATATACAAGCATGGGCTCCCCTCCTTCATGACCTTCCAGCTCCACTTCATCAGCCTTCTCCACTGTGAATTCAGCCTTTTTCACGTTTTCCACGCTGGACTCCTTAGAAAAAGTCCCTATGTGCTGCCCACATTTAAGGAGTGTGGACTTGTGCTCTACTTCCCTGTGGGTGGATTATCCACGTAAATTATGTGGACTTACTCCACACAGATGTGTCTATTCTCCCCCTCATGAATGTATGTATTCAGTTATTTCTTCATAGCAGTATGGAATCTTGGATATTTCTTTTTCTATGTGGGGTTACAGTTTGATCCTTCTTTGTTTTGTTGCTCAAACTGTTGCTGTTTTGGCTATCGCAAGCGCTTTCAGTTGCCTCCTGGGCCCTTTCACGTGCCCCATCGTGGTGTTTGTTTTGTTTTACTTCATTTTTCATGGGAAAGGAAACCCACTCTGACATTATGAGATGCCCCAGGTTCGTCTTATATATTTCCAGCCTCAGTCCCAGAATCAACAATTTCTCCAAATCATCCTGTTTGTATTACTGGAGGATGATGAGAGTAATCAAAATCGGGTGTGCTTGATGCTACTAAGGTACCAGCGTTTTCTGTCCTGCATCCTTTGGCTACATTTAATTTTTTTCCCCTTGTCTTAATTTTCAGTTTGATTGTGAGGCATCTACATATAACTTTCTTTGTTTTTAAGCCTCCTTGAAGTTCCATGAGCTTTTTGAATCTGTAATTTTTCAGCTTTTTACCTAATTTGAATAATTTCACAATTATTGCCTCAAAAACAAAAATCAGTTCCATTCTTTCTCGCACCTCATTTTGAGACCCAAACTACACATCTGTTAGACCTTTTGATATTGTTCCTCCAGTACCTGAGGATCTCTTTCTTTTCTTTTTTGTTCTTTTTTTCTCACTTCTTCAGTTGGATAATTCTGCTGATAGACCTTATGGTTAATTTTTAGAAGTAGGATTACTGTGGTCAAAGAGAAGTATAGGCCAGAACAGTGGCTCATGCCTGTAATCCCAGCACCTTGAGAGGTTGAGGCAGGAGAGTTGCCTTGAGGCCAGGAGTTCAAGACCAGCCTGAGCAACATAGTGAAACCCTGTCTCTACAAAAATATAAAATATAGAAATTAGCTAAGTGTGGTAGCACACACCTGAGTCCTAGCTACTTATAAGACTACTTGGAAGACAGAGTAAATGTGTTTTTAAATTTATTAGATATTCAAGATTCCCTCCATAGAGGTTATAACATTTTTCATCACCACTGGCAAACATGCCTTTTCCCTCACAAACTTGCCAGCAGGGTATAGTGTCAAGCTTTTGAACATTTGTCAATCTGATAGTTTGTCAGGTACAGTTGTGCATCTGTAAAAATAGCTTCCAGCCATTCTCTCTGCTGAACACATGTGCCATTCCCCCATCATGATGTGCAGTCTCTTACCCATCCCCTTTTATCCAGGGACATTGCCTTACAACTTACTTCAACCAACAGACTGAGCTTGAAGTATTACATACTCTGCTTCATGGATTCGACTTGTGTAAAACTACAAACAAGCCACATGGTGATTACATAATCCAGGTCAGACTTTGGGGTAGATTGGACATGGGGCTGGGAGCAGTGGCTCATACCAGTAACCCAAAATAAAAAAATTAACCTGGTGTGGTGCCATGTACCTGTACTCCCAGCTACTAGGGAGGCTGAGGCAGGAGAATTGCTTGAACCTGATAGGTGGAGGTTGCAGTGAGCCAAGATGGCACCACTGCACTCCAGCCTGGGCAACAGAGCGAGACTCAGTTTCAAAAGAGAAGAAGAAGAAGGAGGAGGAAAGATTGGACATGGGAAGTGAAGAGGGAGAGGAAGTAAAGGAGAGGAAATAAAACAATTACAAATAAAGCTGTTAACATACTTATAATGTTAAGTTTTTTTCATGAAATATAAAGTATTTCCCTCATTTTTTGAGTGTTTTATTAGTTTTCTTATGGTAATTTTAAAATGGAAGAAAAAACACACATACACAAATACAGAAAACCAAACAAAATAAAGGAGTTGGTTAAGAAAATATTATAAGGCATACATCATGTAATCAAGAAATAGAAATTTGTCAGACACACCTAAAGCAATGTTCATTTGACCGGTCCTTATCACAATATTCTTCTCTCTGGCATAACTCACTTTTATAGTTAAGATTTATCTTCAAATCTTCCTGAAATTTGTATCCAAATGTCAGTTTTCATCTTCAATAACCATGTGAACATCCATTTGCCTCTTTCTCTGGCTACTTCCTCAAGAAACCATTGTATTTTCAATACAGCAAATCTAAATCTCAATTTCCCACTCTACATAGTAGATAGTCAGATGTAGGAGGTCACCATTACAACTTCCAATCAGAGCTCCCCTCCCTCTATCCAATAAGCCAACACTAGAGGTATTCAACAACCTAGAAAGTCTTCTCACCATATCTGCTCAACACATAATCATGCCCCATACTTCCCACACCCTGATTTTTAGTGATAATATTAGCTCTCACCTCTCATGCTTCCCCACACCCAACTACTGCCACAGTTCTTAGCAATTCTAGCATCCACACACATTATCCACCCAACACCCTCAACACTCTCAATTCTCCAACTGCACTTGTCTACACCCCACCAGAGACACCCATGGCCATAGTCATCAAGAACCTCACCACCAGATCAAAATCTGAAACAGTCATGCCCCAACTATAAGACCACATCTTGCCATTCACTTTTGCTTCTTTATTTAAACTATAAGGGCTGTTTCACCATGCATTGTTCCACAACCCATGGATTCCAGCTGTCCCTACTATTCACCCTTTCCGGTTCAAAGCCAGGTTTCATGGTTTATCACTATAATTACACCCTTTCAAACTCCCTCAGCATTTCTGCACCTTTCTCTTCTGTCACATTTGCATCATCCATGTCCAAACAGAGAGAAAAGAGAAACTCTACCACCTTGTCATGTTTTTCCAAATGGATAGGCTGGAAAAAGTAGTATCTATGGGACAGTCTCACTTTTATCTTCAGAAGAGCTCTCAACACTATCACAAAAACCTACACTCAAGTTTGTATTCCCATACTTTGAAACAATTATCTATACCAAATATCCTCACCCCTATCCCCAGTCATGATCCTGACTGCCCACTGACAGCTGATGGCCTTGCCTTAAGCCACATTGACAGAATAGAGAGAAACTATCAGTGAGGAAACACCTCACTGCCCTACCACCAAAACTTCCACTTATGTATTTGGACCCAGCCACCCTGAAAGTCAGAAATCTGAGAGTGATTCAAAAGTCCTCCTTTTCTCATCAAGAAGTCCGCTCATGTCAGCTCTAACATCCCTCTCCCATGTGTCCATTCCTCTGCCTTTTCACAGACACTTCTTTCCTCCAAGCTTCCAACCTCTCCTCCACGAACTACTGTACCAGCTGGGTTCCCCACTTCCAGTCTTGCCTCCTGCTACCTACACTCCAAGAGGAAAAGGAATATTTTCTTAAACTTTGATGTGAAAGTTGTTACTACCAAGATG